ATACTCCCCTCTGCAGGCGTTACCGCACTGGTCACTCTCAAGTCATGCTGTTACATGCTTTTTGTCATCTAATTTAATAGATGTCATCTATTGCAATCATATACCCAAAGATGTCATGGGACTCCATCTCTGAGAGTGCGCTGGACTCTGTACATGTGGCTGAGTCTACGTACACACAGGAAATGTTTTAGTATGTATGGTCCATGGTATGGTCCAGATTCTAAAAAAAGTCTTGAAAACATAAGTTAAACTGCCTAGGCTTTTGCATATAATCAGCCTACAAACACAATAGGTCTTGGCTAGCTAAAGAAAAGCCAAAATATTTTCCCAGCTGAAGGAGAAATGTCAGCTAAAAAAGGGAAGTCATCCAGGTATCCACCTGCCACAGACAGTGCATGTAAGTTGAAAGCGAGATCTAAGATACTGTAAGCAGAAGAGGGGAAAGACTTCACTCATAAATGAAACATAACGGAGAGTTACAGGTCTGCACCTGTAAGCAAGCCTGATCATCAGTTCCCTCAAGGCTGTCCAGCAGGAAAAGGATTGCGTTCCAGCTGTGAATAGCTAAGCAAACACTGTTAAGATGCTGCTTGGGGTTTGCATTTTGTATTTTATTTCCCTCTGTAAAGCCGTCTTTTCGAGGAATAATGCCTGTAGAATCAGGACCTGAAGGTTACAGCATAAATCCTTGTTAACCTGCCAAGTGTTAGCTTCTAGGAATGACTGCGTGACTCAAGTGTAGGGAGTATTCCTTTAGCTATTTTTCTGTAGCACTGAAAAGGTGCAGGAACCAGAACTAAGATAAATTCTGATTTACCTTGCTAGTCTACTCTATAATATCTTATCTTTCACTGAAGTCGTATCTTAAGTAGTAGTTACCTTAAGTAAAATTACTTTTGTGTTATCCAAACATTAGCTTGATTCCAAGCTTAAAAAAATTGCAGGAATTTCCAGGCTCTTTTTTTTTTAATTGCTTTGAAATAAATCAAATTAGTGCACAAATTATTGATCCTGTTTATTCTTACACTTCAAATTTTCATTAAATCAAATAATAGGAAAGACATATCACAGAGTGATACACATTGTTAAAAGGAGTATGAGCTTTTAAAAAATAAATTACAAGTCTCCTTTAAGCTCAAATGGAAACCAGAGAATGAGTGTCATCTATTTTTATTCATGTTTTCTTTATTCCTGTAGTCTGAACATTGGCATTTTTCTGCTCTTTCTTTTCCCATAACAATAGTGATCCACAGAGCACCACTTCAGACCTTTTGTGTAATGGATATGAGAACACACTTGGATTCTCTTGCTATGATACTCTGAAAAGAACAGGTCCTAGTGCCTGTGTTAATGAGGTCAGATCTTGTTAACTTCTTGAATTGTTATTTTACTCTCATAAATTACCCTTAATGGGCTTGGTCAGCAGAGTTACTGGATTAGCAATTTTCTAGGCATTGAAGACTGTACGTGTGAGAGGAAAAGAACATTGCTTATTCAGATTTTTGTTATACTTCAGAAGTATTCAGTTCTCTCTCTGGAGGCCTTCCATCACAGAATTTACATTTGCCATAGTTACATGAAATCCAAATACCGTTGTTAGGTGGTTATTATTATTATTAGTAGTAGTAGTAGTAGTAGTAGTAGTTGTTGTTGTTATTGTTGTTGTTATTGTTATTATTACAATTACTCCTTTTACTCCCATGTAAACCAAATCAACATATCCTTTATCTGCAAAAAACCAAACAACTGTTCCCACCTGTATACACTAAAAGAATTATAGACCAGAAGAAAAATACTTTGCTGTATGTATTTTGAGTGTCAATCTCTTAATATTATGCCAAATAACAAGAAATAACATAAAATTAATTCAAAAAGACTGTAAAAACGGACCTTTAAAGACATTTATTGTAAGCCTGATTCAGTCCTGAAAGCATTTATGATGATGTACTTTCAAAAAAATTTCTGGCATAGATTTAGTTATAAGATATGAATGAAGAAAACCACTGAAATAGTTATGCTTTACAAGACACTTGAAAAAAGCTTCAGAGATAGTGAAGGGCGTTTCTTCACTGACTTCCACATGAGCACACAGTTTATAAAAGGCTAGTTGCTATAAATATGATCATAATTTTCTATAGAAGTAGTATTGTTATCTCATGATATCAGAATGCTTTCTCAAGCCTGATACATAAGGAGATAATTAACTGGTCAATTGAACAACATGACTTCTGCAGAAACTACCTAAGAACCGTTTGGCCAGTTTCTGTGTGGCACCAGTGCCTTGCTGCCTGAGCAGCCCCTGCCTCTCAGTTCCAGAGAACTGTGCTTACAGGACGTCTACAGCACATTAGTGTTTTGATCCCAGCCCTTGTGTCAATGCTTGTACCAATACAGGGTTCCTTGTGCAGGCACTTACTGTCTGAAAACATGAACATGATGAGAGAAACCAGGGAAATTTATAAATTAATTAAATACATTAACTGCAAGTTTTAAGTATCTGGCGTTCACGTGTAGCACTGGTGTCCAATATTGCCTTTAAGGTGTGCTGATGGATGCTTAAGACATGTAAAACACTTCTTCATGATGTGACCTCCCCCTCACCCACCCAACAGGCCATCACCTTGTACCACTGGAGCCACAGCACCATACACACACTTCATCCAGGGGCTGGCATGTGGCCGCAGGCTTGCTCACCGTATGACCAGCGTGCTTGCATCACCCAACTATTCAAATGATGCGCGTGCCCTGTTAGGCGCAGCCATGTGGCCACCAGGCAAGGCCCCTCAGGAGAGCTGTCAGATAGGGCAGTGGGAGCTGGTGTGTGGTCATAACTCTACAAAACAGCCCACATCCAACCGATACCCGGGGGACCTTTCCCAAAGGCAGCGGGAGGTGTGCTGGCTGCTCCCATCTGGGCCAGGTGCGGGCCAGGGCTGACCACAGAGCTGTCCCAGAGAGCAGCCGAGGGAGAAGGGCTGCCAGCCAGAGCCGTGCAGGCTCCCCTTGTTTCTGCTGCTCCTCTAACATCACTGAAATACAGCTCCTTATTCAAAAGTTTTTCAGAACACCCCATTCACAGTCAATGAGTGAAGTGACCTTGAGTACTTTTGAAAGAGTTATATTTCACATTTGTTCCTGACTTGAGTTGTTGGGCAACTGACTGGATATAACAGAGAGAAAAGCTTCAGATTAAACATCCCAAATGACTAAAACAGCATGATATTGAAATCAAATCCAGGCAAGCCACACAATACAGATTATCTCTAGTGCTGAGACACACTTGAAGAGCATACAAAGAGGTGACATCCTTCATTTAATATCTCGTACAGTAAGAGAGACCAGATTAGATCAGAACTAGTAATGTAGTGCATTGTGTTTGTCTTGATATCCAAATACATCAATACAGCTACACACCCGTGTACTATCAATCACATGAGTAAAATATATATTTCTAGGTGAGCAAGTAGCTAAGTTTTTTTCTTTCTCAATGATATGCTTACCGGGTCTGTATAAAGACAACTTCATCTTTTGCCTTGCATTCATCTGAACTCAGAGATAATAGAAATGTATATGAAACTGCCATTTCCATAACCTGCGAGTTGCTCAAACATGAGACTGCTGCAAAGACTTGCCTACTGATGGAGTCATCAGTGTCTGCCTGAAATTCAGAGCTTTCGTGATAAATGTTCTTTCCTCTCTTCCTCTTCTTTCCCTTCTGTCTCATATCACATTCAGTAAGAGGCATGCGTAAGCTCCCTGCTCTCTTTCTGTACTCCTTCTTCTGCACTGTTACCCCTCTTGCTTACCCTTCCTTTCCCTTCTTTTTTGCTTTACTCTTTCCAGGTACTTTACATGTCCCTCCTACAAAAGTTTACTTACAAAATTTACTACAATTTTTGACATTGCAAATCATCGTTTTGCTCCATTTACTTGTACATTAAAACTCTTATCACTTTGGTTTCACAATATAAACTGCAAACTTCCCAGAGAACTGAAAAATCTCTTATCAGTGTTTCAGTGGTGGTTAGCACAACGGAGACCTTTAGATGGGGTCACACATAGCTGAACACTATAAACTTAGGTTGAATCATATGACAATATTACAACAGTTTTGCTTAAATACTGAACATCCAATATATCTTACGCATATCCCTTAAAATATATAAATATGTAAGTGCATAACTATATAAATTGCTCAAACACTTTTTTATATATATGTCATTTAAATAAAAGTAATCTTTTCCAAGTAAAATACACTTGTCCTATACAGCTTCCTTAATTGACAATGAGAGTTTTTCAGAGTGCATTATATGGATTTTCCCTGAAATAGGAGGAACGGAAAAAACGCATAAGGTTTTAAATTCTTTAGGCATCAAAGCAGAAAAACTCTCCATTTTTGCTAGGTTGAATTTTCAATTTTAATTTTAAGTGAGATAAACAGAAACAAGGAAACTTAATAGTGATTGTGAATACACTTGTAGGCTGAAAAGAGGTGAATTAAAAAGCAATAAACCAGTTCTACTCATTAATAAAATATAACACATCATTTTGTTCAGCAAAATTGTTTCATTTCAAAATAAGGTGGCATGTTCAAATGTGAAAAAAAAACACATATGGAAATATACAAACACTATTCGTGACAAAAGCAAAGGATCTTTGCAACATTTCAGTGACCCTTCATGAACTCCCAGTAAGGGTTCCCCCCAAACAGAATTACAGCAGCTCATGTTGGCTCCTGAGAAGCAAGGAATTAGTGCATTAAACAGGTTCCAGCAAGCAGAAAAGAAAAGCCTCAGTCCAACCTGAAAAGGATCTTTGCTAAAAAAAAAGCCAGTTTAGTAAATTTCCAGAGAAAAAAGATCTTTGACCATTTTCTTCATTCTGTAGAATGTTGTCGATTAGGCAACTTCAACAGGATATCCAAATGATTAAACTGCAATACATACATATTATGTACATTTAAATTATAATTTGAGAGGGGAAAAAAATCCAGTTCCTACCAGTTTGGCTGAGTTGTGACGTGCTACGGCTTTTTCGCGAGAGACCCACGATGGCGACCATCTTTGCACCGATGCTGGAGCGTCTTTTTTTGCTGCCACCACCAACAGTGCCCACTGCTGTGTCCGACTGGCTGCCATCATTCTTCTCTAGTGTGTACATGTCCCCGGGGATGCTGGTGCTCTTGGTCATGTTCTTTCCTGAGGCGCCCATCTGTCTGCTTTGCATTTTGGATGTAAAGACACTGTCAGCCAGTGGATGGGTAAACAGCGCAGACAAAGAAGAGTAAAAAGGGGAAGACAGAAAAGGACAGGTTTCAGATGGAAGGTTTTGGGAGACTGGAGGTGCAAAAGCAGCTAATTCACACAGGTAGGGCTTGGTTTTTGACAGGTAAAAAGGAGCAACTTTAATTCTAGGTTCCTCTTTAGTCTCCTGTAAACATACGTGACTCATCAAAATTTTGTTTTAAGTAATAAGCTCTTTACTGATTGTCTTAAAACACATTACCAACAAAACTCTCTCAAAGAATAAATACATCAGTATATCATATATAAATTTTTTGCTTGGGAAATTTAAGTTCTGCAGTCAGTGCTGTGCCGCTCTTCTTCTCTCGTATAAACACAAAAATAATCTATATTCCTCTGGGAAACATATATTTGGCTTATTACTGAGTGGACAAGGATATCAGTCTAAAGCCAAGCTTTGGTTTTTAAACATGCAGACATTTCAAGCATGTTTTCAGTACTCTGGTTTAGCTCAGTCATTCTATAATATTGATGAAATTACACAATAATAAACAGCCATAGGTTTTTTGCTCCCTCTCTTCAGCAATAAATACAAGTATTATATATGTATTTCATACAGCACTTGGCTGCTATGTGACATAGATCATCATTACTGATAAAGTGGAATTTAATTCTAATATACCTTTCGTCCTCATTTATAGACTGTTTTTACCTGCTCTGCATAGCTGCATCAAAATTATCTGCTGCAACATTTCACAACATGCCCCAGGGGCACCTGATCTCCCAGTGGTCCAGGCTAAGGGACCCTTCTTTAGCACAGAACTGACGATCTACAATGATGACAGTAGTACCTGTCCAAATTTTGCCCTGACTTCTAACTGGTAGGTGTCTGGACAAACATCCAGACCTGGAAACTCTGCAGCACCTGTGGGCCTGAGAATACATAGAGAGCGTTTCTATTTCAGTGAAGTTCTTGCACAGAACTTAGACCTTTACTATTCTGTTCAATACAATGAATCTCACTGAAAAGTACCCGCTAGATGCAGTCTTAGACAATCCACAAAACAGTGGAATATTTTTGGAACCAAGGAAAAATACTAATTTTTGTGTTAAATCACTACCATGTAAAAGGCTAACAAAGAATAATTCTGTTTTGTAAACAGATTTTCAAAAACATGCGAAGACTATTCCTACAGCTTTATTGCTTGGTAAATGGCTCTACAATAAACTTCAGTGGGCATAGCCATACTCTTTTCCCCTTATCTATAATAGCCTGAATCTGTTTCAAAAAAGAAAGGTTTTATTGCTTCTTTGTGAAGTTTTATAACACATGTTCTGCCACACAAAACTTCACTGTGGAGCTCATGCAGTACCACAAAAGCAAAGGGATCACTGGGTCTCTTCCCACTGACTGAAGGGGAAATGGGGTCAGGCATCAGGTTTGGAACAACACTGCAACTATTTAAGATATTGTAGAGGTACCCATAAAGTGCTTTGCTCTTTAGTTGACAGCTGCATGTGCAGGAAGGCACAAAGTGCTTGGAGTCAGGTCACAACACAGAGGAAAACATAAGAGCTAGGTTATAGAAGAAGTGGACCTCTGCCATCAAGTAAAAGAATAAAAAATGAGGTATGCTTCTGAAGGAAGATATAAGGGAAAATACGAATGAAAGTTTGGTTCAAGATATGGAGAGGCACAAAAACGAAGCTGAGAGAGAGAGACTCAGTGGCTTTGCCTGGACAGACAATAACAAATGACTGCAACACAGTAGTAACCTGAAAATTTTTTTCTTATGCTTTTCTAACTGTTTTTGTTGTTCAATGTTAGTACACATTGACTCACATCAGTACATTTAACACTAATGAAGGAGTAGGGTAGGAAGTGAGTAAAGAGGAAGGCAGGGAAGGAAAAGAAAGGTGCATCTCTATTTCTGGGGCTTTTCAGCACTATAGTAACTTACTTGTAAGATGATAACATCACATGCTTTATTTTCTTTCAAACTAACGCATTTAGGGATTGATTCACAGAAATGAGATGCCACAGAAACTAAATCCCAGTTTCAACACTATCTTGCATATATGAAATAATAAGGAGATCTAGGAAGAGCAGTGTTGGGAAGAGTTGGCATTTTCAACTTTATCTTATGCAAAATTTTTCTAAGAATCAGAATTAGAGCCGCTTATTAAGTAATGTTGTCTTTAACTGAAGTTCTCTAAGGAAATATGATTAATGTGACTGTGTTTTCTGTCAAGTCTCTCTCTTTTCCATATTTTTTAAAATCAGTTCAAATTTGACACAGGAGGAGAAAACTAGAGCTATTTAGTTTCTAAAACTGTTTGAAAAACAGATCCCTGGAGAGAGATCTTATGAATGCCCCTTTGGGGAAACAGTGTAGTAGAAGTCATTACTGAATCTCTGTTATTTCATGTGGGAGCTCATTTGCACAGCACAGACTCATAGGTGAAGTAACATTCGGACTGCTTGCAGAACAACCTATTCCAACAATCCATTTATTGATAATGATATCCAGAAAATCAGTGGGTTCCTGTCATATTTATTAGTAGGAAGTAATAATTATGGCATTGCTTTAGAGGTGATACCAAAACTTCGGAAAGGTCTTATGTCATAGCAGTGAAACCAGAAATATTCTGTTTTCTCATAAAACTTACACCGAGGAGAAAGTTCCCATTTCCTGAGTCTAATGCACCTTTGAGGTGCTTCCAGTGTAATCTCTCAAGATGTTTAATTCTATTTAAGTGCAATGGATTACAATAATTAAATGATGGATTACAATAATTAAATGATTAAAGAAATCAAGTGCTTAAAAAGGTTGGCCTGCAAAGCTGCTATAACTTCACTAGGTATCAACTATGAAAACACTATGCATTACAAAAATTTGCCCCTTGGCTGCTGTGTAAAGGCTTCTGTACCACAAAATGAAGCTTTGCTCTGTACACCTGCCAAAAATGAGGTAGACTTCATTCAACCACATTCTTTTGACCAGCTGAGAAAAGTAAGAAAGTGAATTCAAGTAAGGAAAAAGGGATTTAGATTTAGATTTAGGTTTGAGTGGATATACCACATACTATTACAAATAACTAATATAGAATTAGCATTCACGCAACTGGTTTTTTTTTCCCCAGTAGACTTCTAAAAACATTTGCTTTAATTAAAAGTTTGTTGTTATTTTTTTGCCCTCTGTAAAAGCAGCAGAGAAGACATCTTTGCTATGCTCCCAACTAGCAAAAAGGTCTTGGAGAAAGCCATCACATAGCAGTAGTTTTTTTTTACCTCAATTCCTCTCTCACCAAAAAAGCTTTGAGAAATAGGTACTAGGAGAATTCTGAATGGCTTATAGAACCTCATAGTAAATCTGCAGTGGTCATGAGCAAGCTAAGTCCTTTTCAGCACTCTGAAAAGGCCATCCAAACCCTAGCTCGCTAATTATTCTTGGTAGACACTTGGTATCCTCATCAGTGAAGACATCTTTCTACCCAGACTGTCTTCTGATAGTGCCAGAAATGGAATATTCCCACAAAAATAGTGTGTTGTATGTCAGATTTAGTTCCTTTCTGAGGTAATGGGAATATAAGATGGACTTCAGAGTAAAAGATAGCAAATCCTACAACCTTTTCTCTTAAAAGGAAACAGAAATTACTTATGCATGAAGGTTTTTATACAGGTACATATTCACAAACATAATCATACACACACACATCCAGTTAAATATGTATAACAAAATTTAAAAACTAAGATTAAATAAAAGTAATTTATGAAATGATAGGAGTCAAGGAATAGATATGTACTAAAACAGGGTTCTCAAAGTGCCTTATAAGATATACATTTAAAATTATCCTCTGCAAAGAGAATATGCAGCCAGGTGGGGGAAAAAACCTGAAAATTAAATAAAGGAATTAATTATGCTAGTCCCAATCACAAGAGCGTAGTGGCATATTAATAGCCCTTATTAGAAACAAAACAAGAACAAAATCATCACACAACCACAGCTGCATGGCAGCCCAGAGCCTACAGCAACTGCCGGGTGAAGGTGAAGCCAGGCCACTATGGCTTATGGGGACCAACTAGTCAACCAGAGCAGGGTGATGGGCAAAGCTCACACAGGAACGTGGCTTCCAGCATTAACCCTAAAGTCAGGAAACTCCCTGAGGACACCGAGAACTGCTGACAGGTCTCTGTCTGTGTAAGCAGGCTAGAAACTCTAGTCAGATGTTTGAGTTTTCCAGTGTACAGAGAAAAAGGAAAGATTTCTCTGCTCTGCCTTCAACTCCAGTCACTCTCTTTACTAGTTTTTCTTGGTTGTGAGAAGTATCTCTACACACCCTTCCTAAAATACAGTATTCCTCTGTGATCTCTTCACAAACAAGCAGAAGGAATACTCAAATGCAAGTTAAATGACTAATAACAGCTAAATGTAAAACAAACCCTGAAACCTGATCATAAACTAAAACAGTCTACTTAGAGCAAGCTCAAAATAAGTATTAAGCATATTTGTATCTTCCCAGGTGACAATTATTCCAGATAGTCTGGATCAAGTTTGGCATGTCAGCTTGCTGTGTATTTTACAGTTTATTTTCTTAACTTTAACTGTTTGTGGCCACCTACACTATGGATAAATTTTAGAGGAATATATTCTCAAACCTAAAGCAAAAAGTTCTTCAAAACAAACGAGAAAAATAAGGCTTTAGAAAAGAAATAGGAGTAAGACATCTATCAATATTCATAATTTAAAGCCAACAGTGGGATAAAACAACTGTAAGCACCAAATATTATTCTTTAAAATATATACATACTAGCCAACAGAAGGGAGTCAGCCTGACAGATATCTATGACAGGAAATTTAGTGTGGTCCTTATTGCTGTTGAAGACTGTGCCACGTCTACAGTAGTTAGTAAAATGGCTCAGGCCTGTTCTGTGACCTTGATAGCCTTGCATACACACAGCTAGGTTACATCCTTCCCGAAATAGGGTTTTCTCAGG